TGGATAAAGACTCAGAAAGTGGTTGTGAGCATTAATGACGATGAGACTTATCACAACCAGAAATCCTGCAACGTGAGATTCTACACCAAGGCTTAGTTCTGGATCAGAAGTTCTGCTTCAGCGTAGCATCCAACCTCTGATCTTCTTATCTTCTGGCTCCAGCATGTTCGGAAGGAACTTTCAGACTTTCTAGAAAGTTTGCAGCACGCTTCTTAACCTTCTTTGAATTACCCTGGCAAACTCTGACTAAAGCTTTTGTGAAAACTTGCCCAGAAGTTGACCAAACTCTGCCTTGAGAGTGTCCAGAATTTGCTGAGTGTTATGGTGATAATCTGGTCAGAAGTTATGAGTTTTGTCATGCTTCTTAAACACTTAGAAAAATTTCCAAGTATTTAAAACTTTGACTTTTCCCAAAGTAAATTGACTTTTGACTTTTTGACGAAACAAACTTCATATTTCAATATGTCTTGATGAAATATGATTCTTGAAACTTGGTTTTGGTCCAAAAGTCAAAGTTTGACCTTTCAGCGTGCAAATGACCATTTTGCCCTTGCGAATGACTTTTCTTGAAAAGTTACAGTTTAAGGCTTGGAATTGGATAGAAGCAAACTTGAGGATCCAGGGTGATTCCTTGAGAAATGAGAGGACAAATTTTGGGGTACAACAGAAGCCTTTTGGAAGTAATTGACCTACACTTATCAAGTTACTTGTCATCGAAGGTACATATAGAACTTCAGTGATAGTAGCCTTTCGACCATCCTTTCTGATAATCGAAATATCTCCTTTACCACCTGACTTGATATGCCTGCCATCTGCAAACTTTATCACCTTTTCGACTGATTTATCTAACTTGGTAAACCAGTTTTTATTGCCAGTCATGTGGTTGCTACATCCTGAATCCAGATACCACATGTTGTTTTTCTCAGTATTTGACTGAGTGTTTACCAGCAATAACACATCATCAGAGTCACTACTTCCAGCTCGTGCATATTGAGCTTCATCACTATCCTTCGACTTTGCAACTTTCTTTCTTCGATAGTCTCTAGCATAGTGGCCAAAACCTTGACAATTGTAACATTGCACATCTTTCGTGTCAACTTTCTTCCCAGAATACTTGTTTCCCACACCTTTCGAATCAATATTCTTGCTTGACTTCTCATCACCAGCAAGATTCTTTCGCTGCTTTGACTTCTCTTTTCCAGCTTTCTTGTTGAATCTTGATTGCAATGCTTGTTCAGTTGTCTTCTCTCTTTTTGAGTTTCTCTGCTGCAGCCTCATTCCGTGAGCCTCCAATGAAGCTTGAAGTTCTTCCAACTTCATCTCAGATAGATTCTTGGCCTCTTCAATTGTTACAACAAAGTAATCAAAGTCTGAAATTAAAGATCTCAATACCTTTTCTATCTTCTGCAGATCTGTTAGTGCTTCACCACACGCCTTCATCTGATTTGTTAGTGCTACAACTCTTGAGAAATATGCAGAAATAGATTCATCCTCTTTCATCTAAAGCATCTCATACTGCTTCCTCAAAGTCTGCAACTTCACATTCTTCAGTTTCTCATCTCCACCATACAAGGATTTCAGCTTTTTCCAAGCTCCTTTTGTTGTTTCTTCTTCAATCATCTTCTCAAATACATCACAATCCACACATTGGTGAATCAAGAACAACGATTTGCCATCTTTCTTCCTCTGATCTTTGTGCGCAACTTTCTGGGCTTCCGTAGCATCTTCTTCCAGTTGTGATATTCCATCATTCAAGATTTCTACAACATCTTAAAATTTGAAAATAACCTTCATTTGTGCCATCCATCGTTGATAGTTTTCACCTTTGAAAATCGGTAGATTCGCTGAAAACTGTGTTGATGTTGTTGATCCGTTTGCCATTAGATTCTCTCTGAACCGCAAACAAGCTCTTGATACCAATTTGTTGGAACAAAGGATTCAAGAAAGATGATATTGTGAAAGCAAGAAGAAGAAGAAGAGGAGAGAGAGAGAGAGAGAGAGAGAGAGAGAGAGAGAGAGAGAGAGAGAGGATTGATGAGTTAGTTATGCGTAACTAACTATCTAAACTGAATTGTATTATTGTTGCTTACTATTACAAACACAATGACCCTTTATATAGGCAAAATAGCCCAGACCCAAATACATGCTAAAAAACCCAAATAACTACATAGCAAAAATTAACCAACTAACAACAGTTAGCTCAATATCCTACGCTTACCTTTCATGTGGCATATCCTTAAAAAAATACGAAAAGTGCAAAACCTTTTGTCAAATTCAGCTACTAAGTCTTAAGTAATATATAACATTATGCAAGCAACTTCTTGAATCGTTTCCAGGCATTACGGAATTGGTTCAACAACGTGTCTGTGTAAAAAAAAAAGTATTTGTGATGAATAAAAGCATGCAAAAATTCTGAGAATAAAAAATTGAAATTTCCTTATTCCACAAAAACAAAAGAGACACTAAAAAAACAGAGAATAAATGAACAAAAACACCTCGGGTCAAAATTTCACCTTCTTCTAGCAATCCTCAACAAAGGAGAAATTATCCCCTGTATCTCTTGCAAATCTGAATCTACACCCAACAGTGCTCTTGAGATTCCTTATATGCTTCTTGAGAGTTTCTTAAGCCCTAATATCATCATCAACCCTCATTTCCACAACCTTATTAGCCAATCCCATTAACAAACTAGAATAGTTGGGCACAGTAGAATACTTATGCAAGAAGGCGAAAAGAAGTTCCAGCTTCTCCCAATGCAAATCAGAAACAATCCTAACAATTTCTTTCTAGACACCAATTTCTCTCCATCAAAGCAACCACGTGTCCAGGATTCTTACCTTTCAACATACACACAATAGTTTCCCCATGCATGAACCTATTCAAAAGCTTATCATGAGCAGCCAAGTTCACCTTCTTTGGCCTCACAACCAAGTAATTGTTAGCACAACACTAGTAGTTACTTGCAATGCAAGTAACAGAAGAGGAATTATGCAAAACAGATGCTAGGCTATTGCAAATGCACACACTATGTCATATCAAATAAGAAAGGCATACAAGGAGCTAAATATAAGTAGCTTGTGTGTTAAGCAACAAGCTTTAACCACAAGCTAACAACTAACTAACTCAAAGCTAACTCCCCAGATTCCTTCTCATTCTCCTCTGTCTTCCTCTTTGCATCATATATCATCCCATTAGAAGTTCCAATTGCCCTTGTAGAACAGTCCGACGAGTAACCAACAGACAAAAGAGGAGCAGGGTACCTCATAGAATGAATAACTTTCATAGAAGCATAATCAAACACTTTAAAATAACCATCCAAACCTACAATCATAATCCTAAATTGATTAAATTCATCACCAAAATCCTTCCCAATTCAACCAACACAAATTGAAGTCAATGTTGTTGTGACTCTCCATAGAATACAGAATTCCCACCCACCGTCGCAATCATCCCTCCTGAAGGCAAGAAAAACAACATCCTCCATGGACAACCATGTTTTAAATTCATAGCTGATTTCGAAGAATCCCTAGCCCTAACATCACAATGCTTGGCGAGATGATCGTAGGAACAAATAACAAAAGTATCAGCATTAACCGAAGAGGACTAAATTGATATTAAGTGATAAGAAACTCATAATAAGTTGTATAGCATTTACTGTATCCTGCACCGATTTAATTAGTTATATATATGGATCAGTTTAATATATATGATAACAAAGTTTTTGTCTAAATTATAATATAGTACCATTTTATTATCTATATTAGAATATCAATAAAATACATCAGTGAAAAATTTAAACAAGTCTTGTTTAATGTTATGATTCAATCTGCTATTCTCCTCTCTTATCATTTTTATTACCGTGCAAATTGTTTTCATTAAATACTTGCATGTATTCTAGAATACATATTCTAGATATGTATTGAAATTGTATTTGAATCGATTTAAGAACACCTCATTGATTGAAAAATTTTAAAACTAAATGTCATTGAATCTATTCAAAGATGTACCCAATGGATTCAAACAGTCTACTAACTTACAATTGCAGTTTTATTTGAAAATATGGAAAGGCAAGGTCAAGATGAATACTCAGTACATTGAGGATATGGAGGAGGCAAGGGACATGGCCTAACACAAGATCTATGGAGAGGCATTTAATTGTGGCCCTGCTGAAGGAAATTGAATTGCTTGGGATACAAGTTACTATAAAATGTAATTGGCATTTGGAATAATAAAATGGCTGCAGCAGTACATAAAAAAAGATCAGACACAATATAGATAATAGAACCCAAATACAACTGGTTTATACCGAAGGGATGCACAAAATGATTATGTTTGGCAGGTTTGACAAATTGGAACGCTTCTGTACAATCTTATGACAGATTGACAGAACATTGCTGAACTACTTTGCATTATGGCTAAGGTGAGATCAGTTTAGTAGTTTGAACAAGAAATGCAGGATTTGATGGGTGTAGGGACTGCAGGGAGCTACTTTAATTGAATTTGGGTGTTGTCTTTTGGAATATAATAAGTCAATGCACATTGCTGGTTGCATTGGGTGAGATACTATGGTGTCTTGTAATTTAAACCAGTATCACAGACCCCTAGCATGTAGCCACATCAATCATAAGTCACTCTTTAGTCCTTCCTTATCCAAGAAATGACAAATAAACTCATCATTGAGAAATTATTTAAGGGAATCACTTTTAGCAATTCGTGTAGTCAGTCATATGACAATCGGAACATCGAATTTTTAATAGGCAAATATATGCATAGATGAAATGATACTATTCCCAACTAGTTAACAGAAGTATATTAATTAGAACTTGGAAACATTGCTCATTCTGAAATTTGCCTAAATACCAAAGTGGCTAATAAAACTATATAACTGCAGCTCAATAATTTTCACAGCTGGGAAAGGGAGGGAAGTAACTTTCTAAGCAGCCAAGTTCCAAGAGACATATATACTATAAAATCCCAAAACATTTAGTAATAATAAGATACTAAGCATCATTTAGGGAAACCAGGGTCAAGGAATGAGGAAATACTGTAGAAGGCGACATGGATTGTGGGTTGAGTTGTCGAAACGAACAAGCATGATCTGTCTTATCACTCTTCATGTCATAGATATAAAGCTCAGAAGACACTTTGATCAGCGATTTCCCATCTTGGAAACCAAGTGGGCTCATCCAAGGATTTGTATCCATAATCACTCGCTCCGACACTCTCTTCTTTAAATTCAAAAAGCGGCGTGGATGTTCTTGTTCAAAATCCTCCAAAGTCTTGAAATGCTTGAGTATCCATTTAAAGTCAAAATAATCTTCAAGAGAATCAAGATACCAGACATGAAGACCATTTTCTGATACCTGAACATAATGAAGTTTTCCTTCATGTTCTCCAATACAAGCTTCAGGGACAGACCTAAACTGCGATGCCGGAACAGGTACTGAAATCAACAAACAGAGTTCCTTTTCAACATTAAAAGTGATGATTTTATCACCTTCTGTCAGCCAATGTAACACACCTCCTATATATACACCCTTGTTTTTGATCAAATCGTGATTACAATCGCATGTCTCTTGGGATTTCCTCCAAGTCTTGGTTTCTGAAGAGTACAATTCAAATGTAAAGAAGAAGGATCCCTCTTCGGATTCCGACTGGGATTCCTCTTCCTCCTCCTCCCACACTTCCTTCTCACAGCGTTTCACTCTTACCAACTTGAATCTGGATGGCTCAAAATCATAAAGAAGTGCTATACTATCTGTTACATGAGATTGAATAGGGCAGTTGAATTGAATCCATTCTCTGATCAAAGGATTGCAGAGGTAGAGGGATGGATTCGGAGATGGCAAAAGGCTGCGACAGCATACAATTCCTTTACATGAAGCCAAAACAACAACTTGTTCAGGAAGAAAAGTGAAAACCTTGTGGTGAACAACTGGAGGGTCCTCGTTTTTGGACATAACCGGAATATAAGTAACAGTTTTGACATCCTGTCTGCTTAACATATAGCCATCTTGAACAATGAAACCATCCAAAAGAAGCTCTGCCTTCTGAAGTTGAGATTTGATGAATGAAGGGTTTGAAATGATTGCTTGCCATCTTCTAGAAATGCACTTCATACCAAGCAACGGCTTGGCCGGAATGCGTGACAGAATGTCATCGATTATGTCACTGTTGAGACACTCCTCACTCTCATTTCCAAGCTTAATCATCTTCATTTTCTGAAAAAACAAATAACAAGTTTGAATAAGTGATTCTCGGTAACAAATAACAAATCATCCAAAAACAAAAAAGGAAATGAATGATCCATGAAGAAAAGTGGAAAAATAATTGACATGCAAAAAGTGAGTGGAATGGAATGGAACGCATAGGTATATTTGAAGAATGAAACAGTGAATCTGAAGCATGAAAGAAGAAAATAGAGAAGATGATAATGTAAAGTAGCATTTGTGTTGTTGATACAAAAGTAGTAGTAATAGTGAAGAAAAGAGTAGTATGAATGAATGAACCTGTTGATTGTTGAATGAAGAAAGTGTGTTGAAGAAGGAACGAGAAGAAATGGAAATGGTAGTGGAATGTGAAAAGTTTTGAGAGAGAGAGTGGCGTTGCAAGTTTGTTTTGCAACAAACTCTCGTTTCACTTCTTTTGCACAGACACACACAACAGAATAGTGCGAGCGCAAGCGCGAGTGGCAAATCTGAATTTCATCCTTGCTGGCATTTTTTTTCTTCCAAAAAATAATACTAGAAACAAACATGTATACGTTTTTGCCGTAAACGGAAAAGAATAATAGTAAGAGCTTTCTTCCTTCTCTATGTACAACTCTTTCTCTACCTTTCGCCATCTACATTCAATTATAATTCAATTTTAAAAAGTGTGACTTTAACCTTACTCTACATTCATTCATGTAAATGTACATCACATTAATTTATAAAAAAAATCAATAATTCATTCATTTAAAATTAACTTGTCACCACATAAACAACTACATAATATATACTTAAATATAGTAACAATATAAAGATATCATCCCAACATTAATATGGAAATGAGTAGATAAAAAAATAATTCAATTGAGAAACTATGTAGGTCAAAATAAAACAGATACTATATTTAAAAGGAGTAATATTAGTGGCACTAGGAATAGCAAGCAATACATAAGAGAGGGGAAAGTGAGAAGATGATGGTTTTGTCCTTTGGTTTGGACAAGTACTAGAAAGTTAGTGGCCGGTGAGAACGCTAATTTCATTTTGTAACAAAAGAATACTCTATATGGCTAAGCCATATTTGAGTACCAATGGCTTCTTTTTTACTTTTAAAAGGTTTTACAACCAAATTTGTTTTACTATTGTATTCCTCTACTTTTTCGACCATTATATAATCAATCACAACTTGTTGATTATTAAGTTTTTTTTTTTTTTTGAGAAACATGATTATTAAGTTTTTTTATTATAATTAAATGATATATAATGTTTAATATAAATATTTTAAAAATAAAAAATTGCAAAAGTCAATCATTTAAAATACTTCATTCATCTCATAATTATATATTTACTATTTGCAGTTTTTATTTGTCTTAAAATAATTGTTTATTTTTAGTATTAAAATAATATGTATTTTTTTCCACTTAATTTAAAGTCAAACAATATTTGGTGAAGTCCTTACGATTTCATATCCAATAAATTTTGACGATGACATTTATCAAAAAAGTTCATCAAGCCTCATGATTTAGAAGAATCAAGTTATAAATGAAGTGTTGAATTAATAATGAATCAAGTAAGGGATCTTAGTTTCAAGAAAAAGAAGTGTGAAAGCTCAATTGATCATGTGTCTGAGTGATCAATGTACCGTAAAAGTATAAGAGTAATTCTCAAATTTTTAAGGCAACTCACACACTCACTTGAAAATGTTTTAAAACATTTCTGAATTCACTAAAACACCTTAAAACTTATAGAAGAACTACCAAGGTGCATGTGGAATTGACCAAAAGCATTCCTAATCATTTAGGAAGCATTCATTCACTACCTAATTGATTAGCCAAGTAAAATCTCCACTTTGTTCGTGAGCTCAGACTGTTAAAAACTCTTGTTTGGCTACTAAGTTTAACTGTGAAAAAATTGTTTGGTTTATGAGCTCATTCTAGTGTAAAAGCTCTGTTCAGTTATGTTTCGTGTTGAAACTAGAATTGAGTGTATGTTGATGATGGAGAATCCTGAATCAGAGGTGTTGATCTGTAAAACGGTAATATGTGGTGGACCCGCAAGGTTAGTAAGAAAAAGATACCATATTATACCAATTATAGTTTTGATGAAGACAAACATTGATGAAGACTATCAAAGAACAAAATAGTTAAAATGTCACATGATGAATGTCACAAGATGTTTGATCATGAATAAGAATGAATAAGACAATGGTGGTCAAAGAAGAAATATTGATGGATAAATATTAAACTATAATGAAGCTAATCAAGATAAGAGTCAAGTTAAATGATCAAGTTTAAAAGGTTCATTACAATTCATGTTATGTCACTTTAGATGCTCAGAATATTTCATAAATTTTCATCTCTAAAGTCACTTAACCATCATGCATCAAAAACATTAAAGCATTGCCATGAAAAAGCTGTTTTTCCACTTTCAACACAGTCATAATCGGTTACATGAAAGTGGTAACCAGTTACCAGTTGTTTCTATTTCATATTTCTGAAGAAAAAAACGTATTTTTTTGTAAATTATGGCATCTGAATCCGCCATAATCACACTTATGGAAACACCGTAATTTTCTTGCTTTTGCGTAACCGATTACAGGTTCATTTTGTTTAAAAAAATATAAATGTTAGGAGAGTGTTAACCGGTTAGACATGGGAAAATACATCTTTTCATGAACTATTGACATTTCAAACCTTTACAAACCTTCGTGAAAATGCTATAAACATATGCATATGATCTTAGAGGTTTTTTAGGGTGTATTTAAGTTAAGATATATTAGTTTTTCAAATTATCTTTTTCATAAAAATTTTACATACAATTAAAATCATTTCTAAGTGTTCATTAATCAAAAACCCTTGAAACCTTTCAGCATAACTTTCATATCATTGCGAGGTTTCACTATAAATTATGAGCACTTAAGATTTATATATTATTGAATTGTAATGTTGAAAGAGAAGATCAATTTTTCTCTTGGAATTACTTCAAAAATTAATATTATTCAAATTGTTTAAAATGTATTGTGATTTAATCACCAAAGTGTATGGTTATAAGTTTGTATAAATAGAAAATGGTGTACTTGTACTTTCTGGTTTTTTGTGAGAACTATAGTGTTTGATGATTGTGAAAAGGATTCTTTGAATTTGGGTGATTCTAAGTCCACCATAGATTTGGTATTTGTTTTTGTAAAAAGAAAGTAGTGTTCTTGCTTTTTGTGTATGCTTTAGAAGGTTGTACATAAGTCTTGGTGTGAGACTTGTACAAAAATCTAAATATAGTGAAAAATCTTTTAAGGTGTGAAGGGATTAAATGCATCCTTGATTGATAAGGCGTGAGTAACGATCCCTATTCTGATTTCGATTCCTCTTCCTCCTCCCACACTTCTTCATAGTTGATCTTCTCAAAGCGTTTCACCCTTATCAACTTGAATTTAGAAGGGTCAAATTCAAAAACAAGTGATATAATATATGTTATGTTGACTTAATGGTGTTTGTTGGGAAGAAGGAGAAAATAAAAACAATAAAGACCCAATTATTGGTAATTGATTGTAAGTTGGTATATAACTTCATTATCGAGACGACTAACACTAGTTATCGTAAGAGCTGTCTCTTCAAGGATTTATCTAAAACTATATTTTCACACTGACGAGGGAGTTATGAATACAGAGGAAGAATATTTGAAGGCCTATAGATCTTGTTTTCTAACATATTTGAAGCTTCATCAAAGAAAAATGAATTCCACAAACAAGGAACCAACATTGATTAAAGGTAAAAAGTAACTTGAGGAACCATAGGACATAGAAAAAAGTAAAGGAAATTAGCCCGTACAGGCCGTAATCAAATTAGATGATGTATGAAAAAGAATAAAGTCTAGTGTTGGAGCAAATTTGGTTTGTACAATATCTCTTAGATTTTGATGATAACAAAGTATTTAAAGAACAAATGAGTATACTAATATTTTTTCAAGTGTGTAGGAACATATGTTAATATTCTGATTTAAAGTCAATTCTGATACTGCATTGAAAATTCAAATAGAAGCCTTAAGTTACAGATTCTAAAGATCAGACTATGAAGAATCAGACTCTGAAGAGGTCAACATCTTAATACCAGAGTCTGGAGAATAGTCAACCTCTAATGAATAAGAACTTGAATACTTAGACTCTGAACTAGGTCAAGGATCAGAACGTAAAGATCCCAGAATATGATCATGTCAACATCTGAAGATCAACTTAAGCTCTGAAGACTCAAAGTCTGAAAGATCAGAAGCTAAGACTCATCTTATGAAGACTCAAAACTTGAAGCAAGTCAAAGCTCAAGGTCGAAAAACTCTGATAGGTCACTATCATACTCTAAAAACATTTCTTCTTCTTCTAATCACGTGAAGACTTAGCAGAAATCTGTAGAAGACAGATGGAATACAACTGATAATTCCTCTTGTAGAAAAGGAGTTTCAAATAGCCTCTCAACGACATTAACCATATCAGAAAGCTTTCCAACCTCTCCAACGATGCTTCTCTCAAAGACTCACTTGTGCAAGAAGTCTTCTCCAACGTCTCTTTGATCTTCTTCTATAAAATAAGTTGAGAAACTTGGAGAAACTACAAGATTGAGTCTTGACAAAATAATTGCACAAGCTTAACTTAGGATTTCTTAACACTTATATTCTAGAAACTACTAAGTCTTAGAGTCTGTTTGTGTTGTATTTTGTTTACACCTCTGATTGTATATCAAGTATAAGTCTCAAATAATCTTTTATCTATTAGATAGATTGTAGGAAGTCTCTTGTTTGTTGCTTGAGAATCTGAAGTCTCTTGCTTGTATGCTTGAGCGTTGAAGTCTCTTAATTTTGTGGTAGAGCCTTTGTAAGTCTATTTCTTATGTGCTTGAGCATTTGGAAGTCTCTTGCTTTGTGCTTGTGTATTTGTAATCATGTTGGGTTATAGTGAAAATTCCTTGAAAGTGCAAGGGGACTGGACTACTCCTGATTTGAAGGAGGAACCCGGATAATTTCTCGTG